TTCTAAAAGAATTATTTTAATTGTAAAGTTAATACAAAAATTTTTACTAATTAAAAATGAAATTTAATTAATAAAATTTTTGTATTAACTTTATAATTAGAATAACTCTCTCAGAAAAATCTGAAAAAAATATATGTTAAATCATAATTAATAAACTTTATTTTGATATAAAAATGAAAATTATTTCTTAATAAAATTATAAATTTTATTATAGAAAAAATTTTAATTTTTATTATATTTTATTAATAAATTTAGTCTCTAATGTATTACTTTTGGCCATTATTGTATTTTGAATTTTGATTTTTTTAAAATATTTATAAATATTTATAAAATTAATTTAAAATCTAATAATTATTTATCTTTATTATTTTTTTATTTTTATTATTATTTTTATTTAGTTTGAAATTTGTTTTTGAATTAATAATTATATTTTTTATAATTAAATAATTAAAAATAAAATATTTTAAAAAAATACTTTAATATTATCAATAAAATAAAAAATAAAAATTACTTATTTGAAAAATATTAGAGAATATATAAAATAATATATACTTTATGAATAATAAATTACATTTTTTAAATTAATTAATTTTATATATAATTAGAATAATTCTTTCAAAAAAAGTTTGAAAAAATATATTTTAAATATAATCTTATTTTATATAAAAATAAAAGAAAATTCTATATTAAAATTAACTTTATTACATTATTATTATATAAAATTAATTATTTTATATAAATAATAAAATTCTTATTTTAAAATTTTATTTTATTAATAAGATATTTCTTTTATATAATATGATATAAAAAGATTTATATATCAAATTAAAATTAATAAAAAATTTTTTATCAAATTAACTTGCAATTTTTTTTAATAAATAAAAAGTATATGTTTTGAGAATCAATTTAATATAATTTTATTTTAAAGTTAATTATTATAATTGGTGTTACTAACATCAAATAAGTCATGATCAGTTTCTTTATCTAATAAAATTACATATTCATTAGATTTTCTATAATCTTTTGCTTTTTCAAGTATTCTTTTTCAAAATTCAAGAATTATTTTTGAATTTATCTTTTTATGAAAAGCATATAGAAGCTTATTTCTAATAGCCAAAAGATCTGTATATGATCCTAATCTTGTTATCTCATCTTTTACAATTATCCAAATACTTTCAATTAGTTAAAGTTTGCAATAATATGGAAGAGTAAAAAAAATCTAATAACTATACTTCTTTGCTATTTTTACAGATGCAAATGGTATTTTTTCTTTATTTTTTTATACTAGTTCTAAGAGTTCTGACTTCTGTAATCCAATAGAAAAGATAATATCATGATTGATTAACTAATCAATTATTTCTGCTTTTCTTATACTTGATGTCAGAATACTTTTAATATGTTATTTGTGATACTGTATGCTATTTATATGAATATTTACTATACCATATTTAATGCTAATAAATTGGCAAAGCTTTTCAAAAAGATTCTCAAAAATCTTAGTGTTGAAATTTTCATAATAATTAATTTGATTAGGAGTGATATTGATATTTTTAATCACTACTAGAATATCTTGTCATACTTCTGCATTATATCATTTTTGTCTCCAGCTTCCTGATAATTTTATTACTGGATTTCAAATATAAATAGAGTTAGGAATAAGCTCACCATATAGTTTATTAGTATTATCATTTTTAAAAATAATAATAACTTTAAAAATCACTAAAAGTGATTTATGTTCTTGTACTAAAATAATATTATGATGCAGAAGCCAAGTATTTGATAAAGTGTAGTACAAGTAATAATATAATTTATCAAGAAAAACTTCTGGATGATATGGAATATTATTGTTATTTTTTATATTGGCAAATTGATAATGAAGATACTAATAACAAAAAGATATATTATTTGATAACTTGTGAAATATATTTTTTCATTCTTCTCAACTGTAATAGTAATTCAAATAGTATAGGATACAAAGTAGTTTTTATTTTGAAATTACATATCTATGTTCAGAAAAAAATGCTAGCAAGATGGGTATAGTGAGTTATTTAGCTGTCTTGTTAATATCAATAATTTTTGTATGTAAAAGAATGATAATATTTTTGTCAGGCTGTGATTTAGATTGCCCAAGATTTTTGTGTAATGAAAATTTATTATCATTGTGCTAATTCTAATCAGACACAACAATATCAACTATACTTTTCACAATACCCATAATCATGATAATATGCTTGCATAATATGAACTTCTGATGTTATTTATCTAGTGTGATAGGATTGGAAAAGTAATTGTGAATGTTAAAATTTTTATTTTCTGTTAATGAAACATTTTGTTATTTTTCTTGAGAAGTAAACATTGAAAAGTAACAAAATTTGAAAGATAGGTAAACTTACACATGTGCTACCAGACATGTAAAAATTGTGTGGTCTGGTTTGGTTACGCATGCAGATCACTCATGGAAATCCTAATCACTTATTTTCATATATGAATCTTTTTGCATAATATCATATATAAGATTAATTATTTAAAACTTAAAGTTATATATATATAACAAAAGAAAATATCATAAAGATAATTTATAATAAAATAAAAAAGTTAATATTATATATTATCTATATTAACAATTATACTTATCATTACACATTTTATTGTTGATATTTTTTATATAAATAATAGCTTTAATAATAGGACTTTATTATAATAATTAATATTTAACAAAATATTCTTCATCAGAAATATTAATCTAATTTTTTCTTCGTTATAATTATATTTTGTTATCATTATAACTATTAAAAACTCGATTTTCTAGTAATTTTTGTAACTTAAATAGGCAGGGTTTAAAGATAAATTTTATAATATAACTTGATGAATTATTTCAAAAACTTATAAATTATAAATTTTTGATAAAAATGCGCACCTCGTTATAGTCACACCCAATATAGTCACGCATTTATCATACCTCCTTACAGTCACATCCTCGTTATAGTCACTAGATTCTTTGTTCTGTGATAACGACTGATATGTTCAAATATCATTATGTCATAAGATCTGCGACGCCCAAACAAAGTGGGATCAATGATGAGAAACAAATGCGTGTTCAGAATACATAAATAAAATAAAATTGCGATGTATAAGGAATTCGTTTTTTTTAAAAAGCCTCTTTTTGAGGATCAAATTTTATTTTACGAAGACTACGATCAATTCATTTATTTATTTCATCTATCAATGATGATAACAGAATTTTTAGACATTAACACGTGTATAGTTTTATAGATAGTTTTGATTTAGAAGTCAAAACCTCGTTCACTTTCATTATTTTGAACGTCTATCTGTTTGACGTTAAAATTGTTTATTTGTCAAAGAAAATCGGGTCGATTGGAATATTTGTGCGTGAGAAAATTTATCGGGTATATATTAACGCCAGTTTTTTCCGTATGTTTGTATTTATACTTGCCACCGTATGTTTTATGGTCATACAAACTGAACGCCAATTACTGCAAAACGTGCAATACATAAATGGTTTAGCCACTTTGATTTATTTGTTGATATTTAATAGTTTGTACGAGAAACAAAAAAAAATTAGAGTATCGGGTATGCTTAACGTTAAATCAAAATGCTATAAGTTTATGTAGATGCTAAAAAAAGTGCCACAAAACGAAAGGTAAATAGAAGAATCGCCTTTTTTAGACATCATTCGATTGGTTTGATTTCGTTTGGTATCATTTTGTTTTACTATTATGATACAATTGTCGACTTAAAGTTAGCAGAATTAATCCATCATCTCGCGACAAATAAATAAATTAGAAAGTATTACAAGAGATGCTCAGCCACTTCATTTACTATCATGACTACCGGTTAACAGCAGAATTGTCGTTATTCATTATGGATTAAACAGGATGGTTGATAATTATAGTAATTAGTGAGTGAACGAGCGAATGGAATTCTGGGCGGTTTTGTTAAATGATATTATTTCTTTTTCATCAGCCTTGTGAAGGTTTACTGAAAATGATGGTGAGTTTGATCCATGTACATGTATAAATAAATTATGTGTATCCGAAAGAATATACTGTGCATTATTGATGATGGCAATTCAATGCAGCATACATGCATAAACAGAACAAGTAAAAATTAATTTATAACTGTCGTTATATCGAGATATATCATCGACACTTACATGTAGTATAATTGTTTTATGTGTGGTCGCGTTTTTATGTATATTTTTATTTTAATATAAGGAAATTATGAGAAGTAATCAATTGAATCTTGTGTTCATTATTCAAACACCCGTGCTTGCTTGTTACTATTGCCACTGTTGCATACATTTTCTCTATTTACCCCTCGCATCTTCTACTCTCCTCTTTTTTTTTTTTACTTATTTATTTATTATTTCCTCTCCTTTCTCGGTGGTGTCTTCATCTTTATTTATTATTCACTTTCTTTAAACATTACTTTTATATCCATTTCATTTAGTATAATAATAACAGTATCGATATTCTTTGCTTGATCAACAATAATCGTCGAGACGACGAACGACAGATTTTTTATATTCCCTCATAAAAAATTTCTAACGATACAACAAAAAAAGGAAGTTCTTTCAACTTCTTCCGCATTTTACTATTACATAGATTAACAGCATATAAAATATCGTTTCATTCATATATAAATCTATAAATAAATGAATAATCAAAATAAATAAATATAGATTTCATTTAATTTAAAGTATTATAACTGTCACCAACAAACATTTTAGATTTTACCATATATAACGCGCGCCCGCAAAGTAACAATTTTATCTTCGGGCATAATTTTTATATATATATATATATATATATATATATATATACAACACACACATTGCGCGCATTATATCAAACGATACGCAATCTCAGAATTCAAATTAATATATAAAAATAGATAATAATAATAACTTTCACGCATACCGGAGAAAAACACATAAATAAATACCCACGAATACATTCAATTTTAAAAACTTAAACAGAATGAAGAAGGTCAAAAACGTTATTCTACGCAGAGGACCATTTGGGTCAAAGAAATATCAAACAGACAAAGAGAAGTATAGTGATTATAATGACTCAAAAAGACCTCATACATTCTACTCTACATCAGTATATCATCATTCCAAGGGAATATCAAATAGAGACTTTTTCCCGTCGAGCGATGAAGACGAAGAATATCCGATACCACCTTCTCCTTTATTTAGCAATAACAAACGGTCAACATCAATGACTCAAACAATATTAACGAAATTGAAACATGGAATACGCGAGCATGGAACACAAGTTCCTACATCATCATCATCGTCATCCTCATCATCGTTATATTATTCTAATAATGGACTATTAACACCTACAACCACAGTTACTTCTTCTACACCATGTTCACCCAGAAGTGACTCACCTGAAGCGCCCATGACTCCACTAACCCCATTAATGAGTTCACCACCATCAACAAACAACACTACTCCCACCGCGGCATTCGCCGTAAACTACAAAAACGCCAAATCATTGAGTCAAGAAGGAAACGACATGAAACCGAAAACGACATTCTCGATTGAGCACGACAAAGTCGATTTGCATTTCGTGTTCGAAAACCGCGCATTTGTACTCGAGAATTGCAAAGAACGAGCCTTGTATTATTTGTGTTCGAAAATAAGAGACACGGTTGAGCCGGCGCTTAACCTCAAGATAAATCCATTGTTACTTGAATTGAATATTCCGCGTGTGAATTTAATTCAGGTCACTATTACGAATAAACTGCTTAGTGAAGAGGGTGGAATGTGCGGTATAATTAAAAAGTATGGAATATGCAAGGAGAGTCCACTTAAAGTCGAAATTCTAGGGAACATTATGGAACGAACATATTGTAAGTGATGACATTTTGGGAATATTAAAGAATTCAATTTCCCGAAATGAAAATTTCCTAATTCTAAAATTTACAAATAATAACACAGCACATGCTTCCGAAGAAGATTGGCCACATCAAATGGATTGTAAAGGACACATAACGATCACACCGCAATTACCAAATTTCGTGATTGATTTGTTCAATTGTCTGTCATACAAATTCGAAGGGAACAAAAAAGAAATGACCTTGCAACAGAGTAATACCGTGTCTGAGGTGGAAGAAGCAGTGAGCGAAGTGGAAAGTGATCCCGAGATGTTTACCAGTGTCTTGGATAAACTTGCGCGTCGATTGGGCGGGAATAACTTGGCGGTCTGTAATAAGAAGGACGGGATAATAACTGTATGTGAAAAATGAAATTCCTTGTATGTATTCACCTAGAATTCAGTTCGTACGTATTAATTGGCGATATTTTTTTAAAACATAAAAAGTCCTTTGGCGCAAAATTCAATGCGATACTTGATGAATTACATGAATTCACCGGAACTCAGGTAAACTTAATACAAAGTCATTCAAATCTTTAAATGAAAATAAATGTTAATTTGAAAAAAAATTACTTAGACACCTCAACATTGTTGTCCATGGATATTACGACAATCAAGCAACAAAACCACAATAATAGAAAAAGCTCCAGGCACAACAACATCACCAGCAATAATGCAATGGTTACAATACACAATAGATTTTGTCTGTTTACTATGGGACGCTGAGCGTGGCTCATTACTAAACAGCAGGGCTACTAATGTACCTCCGGAACTTCCTGCGTTACAACTCGAAGGGTCTATCGAACGAAATATCAAAGTTCCAAATGATTTATTAAACGGTTCATCATTTATTGACTCGATGCTCTTCAAGCATCGGCAAGACAGTGGAATGATAACAATAAGGCGTCGCGACGTACCCCTATTGACAAATTTCCTGCCAGAAAAGATCTTCCCGCGGATTTATTCCACACAGGATTTATTGCTACAGGACGCCGATTTGGATGATATAAAGTCTTCGGATGAAACGACGCAGTTCATTCCACAGTTCAAAAGTCATTTTGCCGTTGAGCTACAGTCACCAAAACTTCATATGGTCCGACTTGGAAATCTTTATAAGCATTGTGATGAGTGTTCACATTACGAGGAACATAACACGACAACTGACGATTTACGATCACTGATAATACATCGAACAGCGTTTGGTGGAACATATGGTGCTGTAATAAAGCGGCACGGAAAGGCACCAAATGAAGCTACCGAATTGGTGCTTAACCCGATACATAATTGCATACGCAAAGACGATCCGTATGTTCCGTTGGAATCGTTTAAAGATGACGGGTATATCGTATTTGGAGTTGGCGGCCCTAATTCACGTGAAGGAGGCAAAGTACCTTCGTTACGTGATCTATGTCGAAATTCTCTTGCACTAGAAGGCAAAGTTCAAGAAAAAACCCCTTCGCAAATAGACAAGGTATTTATTATATTGTTTGTAGGTTCAAAAAGAAGAGATGTGTGGTTTTAACGTCCTTTTCATTAAATTAGAGCAAAGAGCGACTATGTAGTGGCTGTCAAAAATGGTTCTTTAATCCAGCCGAGACTATAATTCTTTGGACTGCTGCCCAAGATTATTATTGCGGAATGCTAGTAATCGGTCATTATTGCACCTATCAATGTGTACCATTGAAAGTACGCGAAAATATAAAGAAAGGCGGGTGTCCTTGGGAAAGATAAAAATATTTTTGGTTCCACCTATATGATCTCTCATCATTCGATTTTATGATGTTTCTTCGCATTTCAAACCTTTTAAATATATTGTACACATAATTTCCCACCTCTTGTACAAATTTCCTTATTTTTGATTTACATGTACAAACACAATTAAGACTCTCATATCGAACATGAAAATTTGATATTTTACGCGATGCGCTTGGATATACTTTGTACGTGTGGATTTATATATATACTATAATATTATAATATCAATAATGTCTTATATTATATAGATAATTGTTATATATATATATATATATAATATATAAGATAGATTTTATATTCTTCTTTTGGTTGGTATTTCTTTTTTTAATATACATACACAGTTTTTTATAATTGTAGTTTTACTCTAATAACAGTTATTTTTGTTCTTTTACTCGCTATTTCACATAATTTGTCGTAAATATAATTTTTCCTTCCTTTAGCAAAATTAATTTATATTAATATTTTATATGATCTGGTGCAAAAAGATTTGTACCTATATATTTTTTAATTATATATATTTTATAAAAAAATTTGCTACTTTTTTGAATGATTATTTCATAAATCTTTTTATAATAAAATTAGATAAATTAATATAAACATATATAATAAATAATTTAACTTTATAACTACTGATTCAATCTTTATGAAATTTGGACATATGCTATATACTTGTGTCATTTTGAAGCTTTAATATTAAAATATATTTTTTTAAAAAAGCACTTTTTTTAGAAAAAGTATAAACAGTATTTATTTTGAGATACATATCTTTCTGCACAACGATTTACAATAATTATTAATAACGATAATAAATAAAACATTGTACATGTATTTTGCAAATTTTTCGAATCAAAATGAGAGTAACTATTAGTATATATAAAATTTGAATTAAAACATATCACATGGTGCGCCAATAAAATAGCTTTCATGTGTCATTATTGTTATCCCATTCATCCAAAATTTCCTTTTTGGGAAATATCAACAATTTCCCGAAATTTTATACTGGTAAATGCATGCACTTGCGGAATTATCGCTATCTAGAGTGTGTCTATAAAATTAACTTTGTGTAAATTAAAGAGATTATTGTCATTTTTCAATGAAATGACTAGCATCGTTTCACCATTTTTCTTACATTGCATCGTAAACAATTCGGCAGTACACAAGGTGTATACACAAATTATTCCTCATCGTGAATATACAGTATGTTGATGAGGAACATCTGATAGGAGGCAACGGAAACAGCCGTACTGAGCACATATGCCTACATTTGCTATTTGAGGGTTTGTGTTTAATGAAATTGGCAAGCTGAATCATTTTTAATGCATTATATTCCGTTGCAGTTGCAGCTGCTATCATTTAATAAAAATTTTGTGAAAGATAAATAGAAATAATCAACAAGAAAAAAGCATCGTGTATCATGATGAAAACACAAATGACCTTGGTTTTCTGTTGGTGTGATTTTTGCATCATTTTTGTATCATTTTTGTATCAGCAGCATCTATGTTGCTCAATTGAAATTTCAAAAGGGATTAGATTAGTGAATAATAAAAATAATACTTTGTCTTTTTAATTGATTGCCAAAAAGAATTGACAATATTAATTCGCCGACCTATTATTTATTGTTTAATAATTGATCTATTAATAGCCTAAAGGCAGGAGAACTTTATTCCAAATCAATTTAGAATGATATATCGGTTTACAAAGACACAAAGATGCCGAATCTGATAAAATCAATATCTTGTATAAACTTCGAGCACAAAGCTAAAACAGTAAACCAAATTAATGTTTAAAGAATGTAATGTAACTGTGTGCATGTACATTGATATTTAGAATGACACTTTTTTGGGTTAGCGATAATCATTTTATTGTTGTGCTTGAGCGGATCTTTCGGTATGAAAGAATTATACTATTTAATAATACCATTTTAGTCTGAAAATATATTACGAATGATAGTTATTATTATCAATTGAAATTTTTTTTTGTTCTATAGAACATTGAAAAGAAAAATTCTCGCGCAGCAAGACCAAATATGATAAATCCTTTGTCATTCTAAGGTTACGTCGCAATCATTGTACTATCAATTGTTTGAGGATGTGATACATGTGTATCTGAACATATAAACACATATAAAAACTGAAATTTGTTCGCTCGGGTGTGGGATACAAGAGGTCTTAAATCAGAGGGAAATATAAACCTATGGGCAGGTACGACTGTATGTATATTGATTATCCGTTTTTTTGACCCTGCATAATTTGCAATTAATCTAATGATTTATTAATAAAAACTTTAAATTAAAAAGTTTTATATAAAATAAAGTGTGAAACAATTTTAGAATTTTAAAATTTGCAAGCAATTTAAGGAATAAAGGTTGTGGGTTTAAAAATAAACAGATATTTAATGTTAGGTGGTAATTTCTTTCTAAGACGTAAAAATGCAAGTAATGAAAAAAGAAAAATAATTGAGATATTAGAATTTCTAAACCAATTGCTCTATAAGGTGATACAATTTTAATTCCGGAATTTTTGTCGTAAACCTACATGCATGTATAAATCAAACATAAATGGATCTGGTACAACATCCGAAATCCTGATACGGAATTCACGAATCCCGAAAAAACGATACTAAAAATTTAAACAGTTTGCGCTCCAATACTCAATAAACACTATACTAGTACACACTTGTAAATACGTGTTAAAGAACAATCACGTATCAATTTCCTTGTAGCACTTATACAGTATCGAGAACGAAGAATTATATCATACTCTAACATACATACAATGTGATTCAAAATTATTTGGAAAATGATTGTCATCAATCGACATGAAATAACCAAAATTAGAGACGAATAGGAGAATAGATATCCAGTAAACTTTCCTCTTTGCGACGAGTCTCTAAATTGAAATGGCTGCTACCACCTTCCGTGACCAACGACAAATGATCTTATCTTATTG